CTCCATAAAAGTATTTAGAAATTAAAAAAAACACACACACAGGGAAAGTAAATCAGAAATTAATGAGTTTGGTTATTTAAAGGTGGTGAGTAAAGCTGGGTGGAAGAAATAGGGGGAGTCATACTTCTTTTGAGTATTACCCTTTTGCATACTTTTTTACTTTTGGAACCACATTAATGTTTTATGTACTCACAAATTAACCTGACTATTAAAAATGAATAACAAAACCACAGTGAACAGGGAAGAAAAGAACTAACCCAAGATCCTTTTGAACACAGACATTTTAATATATACCCCATGCTAAAGGCAAATATCAAACTCTAATCAACAGACTTTTTTCTAAGTGTTTAATTAGCAAGTTTGAAACTATTTCTATGATTGAGCATATAAGTAGGTGCATTTAAGATATCGGGAGCCATGTTACCCAACTCTTTTGAAGAGAGAGTTGTAAATATGGAAAATGAAATGCTAGAATAAACCCTGTGGTATGGATAGATGATAGATACAAGGTACAATAAGATAGAGGATAGAAAGATAGATAGATAAATAGATAATGGACTCTGTGTGTGTGTGTGTGTGTGTGTGTGTGTATTCTCAGATAAAACGGCCTAGAAGCAATGACAACCCAGAAGCATAAACACATCTAGTAACCACATTTTGGTATCTAAATACTATTCTCCATGAAAAAAACCCAACTCCCTGAAGAAGTGGTTGATTTCAGGACAGGGCACAAAAACTACAAGAGGAGCCTGGAATGCAAGGTTTGTGCCAGAAAGTAAGGAAGAGCTTCAAGAATGATGGGGATATATTAAAAGGGCAGAGAAGACACCTTGAAATAGCTCCCACTGAGCAGTTCTGGAAGAATTTGAACATCAAAATACATGATAGTAATGGATTATAATCCATCACATGAAATAAAAATTCATAAAAAATAAATAAATAAATAAATATGGGAGAAGGGAAAGATCTCCCTCACAGTAGAATGCCACCTAATAAATGTAGAATGAACAATGAAGTTAGGAAAATTATCATTTCAGAAACATTATAGTAGTAACTGACTCAGGCAAGAATCATCAATGGATGTTAAAATAAGTGGGTAAAATGGTAATAAGAAAAACAATATTTACATAGTGTCATATGAATTTGTAACATTGACAAGCTTGAGCATCCCCAAACAAGAAATTAACATAAAATGGTTCCAATTTGGTAGCAACCAAGGGGCACCTCTCTGGAGGTGCTCACTCCTAAACTATGCTGTGAAGAATTCCCACAAAAGAGCTCACAAATCAAAGTGACATGTCAAACAAGAAAACAAGCACCATGAATGAAAACCAGTAAAGAAAAGAAAAGAAAAATTTATGCCTAAAATACTTTAGATAATATAATTATTGGGTTCAGAATATAAAACATGATTAAGACAGAATAATTTTTTTAAAAACACTAAAATGGAACAATGTACCAGATAAATTTCTAGCAAAATTTTCAAAAAATCAAATATAATTTCTAGAAATAAAAGATTTACTCATTAAAAAGGACAGGCTAAAAAGCAGGTTAGAAAGAGATTAAAGGGCAATTAGTATACTAATAGAAAAATAAAGGACATTACCCAAAATGTCATTGATAATATCAAAGAGGTAGAAAATGCAAAAGTTAAGAGACATAGATCATCAAAAAAGACTATCTATGATAAATATAATTTGAATACAGAGAGAGAAAGAGAGAAGAGAGAAAGAAATAGGTAACTGAGAAAAAGAATATTTGAAGAGCTAAAGGTTGAGAATCAGTGAAAGTTATAAATCCTGATTCTGGGAGCACAAAGAGATCTATAACAAGACTTGTTGTAGTGAAACAACAGAACACCAAAGAAAAAGAACAGAAAGCCTGAAAAACATCTGGAGAGAAAAGAGAGATTACCTGAAAAGGAATAACGTTTAGACTGTCAACAGACTTGTCTTAAACAAGAGCCAAAAGAGAGTAAAATATCTTCTAAATGATTAGAGACAACAACTTTCAACCTGGTACCCAGCTAGTCTTTCAAAACTGAGGGTGGGCTGCAGATATTTTTGTGTGAATAAAGTTAAGTTTACCACCACAGATCTTCTCTAAAGGGAACTGAACACACTCAGAAACTCTGAGATGCAAGATGGAATAATGAGCAAAGAAATTTATAAATATGGGAAGTTCTGGACAAACAATGACTGTTAAAATTATAATTACTATAAATATTACACCTTCATGAGGCAAAAATGTTAAAATTAATGTATTTGTTATAAATTCTGTAAAATATAGAGGGTAGATAATTGAAGTTAAAGTACTATAAAATTTTGTATTGGCTGGGGAATGGTAAATATACTGATTAGTTTTAGAGTTTGGTTTTGTATGCACACTAAAAATTTAATTGTAATCATACAAAAATCACAAAAGGATTAAATACCTGCTAGTTCAGTAGAGGGGAAAATGTATTTTAAAAAAAAAAAGTGATCAATTTTAAGTAAATAAGGCATACAAGGGGAAAATGTAGCATAATAGGAAGCATAAAATAAATGGCAAATCCAAAATGTAAGTGGACTACAGACACCAATTAAAATACAGAGATTGTAAGAGATGATTTTTTAAAATCCAACTAAATGCTCTTTAAAGATTTACTCACCTTGAACCTGAGAACACAAATAGGGTGAAACTTAAAGGGCAGAGAATCAATATGTTATGTGACTATTAAACAAAATAGTGTCTAAGTCAAATATTGAATTACTAAGAATAAAGAAAAGTTTTACAAAATAAAAAGAGTTATTCACTAGGACAATATAACAACTCTTATTTTACATGAACTTAGCCTCTAATTAAAGCAAAACTGCCAGAGTTACAAAGAGAAATGGACAAATCTCCCAGACACAGAGATTAAAATTTTTCTCAAGAACACATGCGATGGTTAAAAAAAAATTGACCACATTTAAACAATAAGTCTGAACAAATTTTTTAAAAAACTGGTACCACAATGCAATTGTTAGACACCAACAACAAATACATATCTTTAAAAAAATCTCTGTATGTTTAGAAATTAAATAATATATTTCTAAATAACTTGTGGATCAAAATAGAAAGCCTAGTAGAAATTAGAAATTATATAGCATGAACTACATAAAATTAAAACTACAGGGCTTCCCTGGTGGTGCAGTGGTTGAGAGTCCGCCTGCCGATGCAGGGGACACGGGTTCGTGCCCCGGTCCGGGAAGATCCCACATGCCGCGGAGCGGCTGGGCCTGTGAGCCATGGCCGCTGACCCTGTGCGTCCGGAGCCTGTGCTCCGCAACGGAAGAGGCCACGGCAGTGAGAGGCCCGTGTACCGCAAAAAAAAAAAAAAGAAAGAAAAAACAACAACAACAACAACAACAACAACAAAAATAAAACTACATATCAAAATCTATGTGATACAGCTAAAGCAGTACTTGGATATTTGTAGCCTTAAAAAATGCATATAATAGAAAAGGAGAAATACTGAAAATTAATGAGATAAGCATTCGATTCAGGAAGTTAGAAAAAGAAAAACTTAATAAGGAAAGAATATTATATATAAAAACATATAAAATAATAAGATACCATAGACAAGATGAACAAGGTTGAAGATATGCACACATTATAACTGAATAATTCAGTATCTAGGTATATATGCTAGAGAAATTCTACCACATGTACACAAGGCAACATAAATAAGAATACTTATAGCAATTTTTTTTTATAGCAATTTTGTAATAGCAAAATACTGGGAACATCAGAGTAGAAGAATTAAATATATTGGGTTATATTTATCCAATGGAATTCTACACAACAAAGATGAATAAATTGCCTCACATAAGTCAACATGGATAATTCAAAAAATCTAATATTTTGTGAAAAAAAAGCAAGTTGCAAAGTATACATAGATTTTGATTAAATGTATACAAAATTTAAGATATGAATTCATAATTAAAATATGGTTTCAGGATTCATGTATTTATGTAGTAAAATGATAAAGACACATATTGGAATGATAAACACTGAATTCAAATACTGGCAGCCTCTTAGAAGGGGAGGAAAAGGAATATTCAGGGATATATAGGGAGTTCCGACTGTGCTGTTTATATTTATCTTCTTAACTGGATAAAGTTGCTTATTACTTATTTTTATACTTTTTATATACCTGATATATTTAACAATAAATCATAATAATATAGTTAATATCAATATAAAATTATAAATTATTAGAAGAAATAGGAAAACTTTGAAACTGAGAATTTCAAATATTGGAAAGAG